GAAAAATCACACCTGACGGGCATCTCACCTGGGCATTTTCTTGCCTTTACTTCCCAGAACAAGCCTGGGAAGGAAGCTGTTATTATTCTCATTCCAATTCACAGACGGGCCTGAGGTTAGTCGGTACCTGAGGCTCTCTCTGCGCAGAGGGCCAGAAAGCCCACAGGCTGCAGGAGCAGCTGTGACCTCCTGGTCTGAGGGGCAGAGATTCACAGCTGCTGGTCCTTCCTCTCTTTCTGGGTGACAGGCAGTCGAGGAGAAGGAAATGGCACCACCTAAGAAGTACTCGATCAAACCCCCCAGGGATCTGAGCAGCAGGTTTGAGCAGGAGCAGGAGATGAAGAAGCAGGAGGAGATCAGAGCTGAGGAGAAGAGGCAGCTGAAGGAGGAGGAGGCTCACCTCAAGGTAGGTCCACCTGCCTCCATCCTCATCCTCTGAGCTCAGCCCTCGAGGTGGGGCTTCTAGGGCTGGGAAGCAGACACTCATCATGGAAGGGATGTGTTTATGGACCCCAAGGTCCAAATGCCCTCCTCCATCCCTCGACCATCCCCACCCCTGCCTGGCCATGTGGGAATCTCCCACGGGTGGACAGCCAGCTTCTGGTGACAGATTTCTAAGGCCAGAGAGCTCAGAGAGCCCGTTTTAGGCCGGGCAGTGCTGAGGTTCTCTTCATTCCAGGGTCTCCCCGAAGACCTAGCTACACACACTCTCCCATCTGTCCTCCCAACTGTCCTCCCGGCCCTCCTTCCATCAGTCCTTCCATCTCTCCGCCCGTCGATCCATTCATCTACCCATCCACCCACCCTTCCTCCCATTTCTCCTTCCTTCTGTCTCTTCATCCTCCCAGCATTCCTTCTAGCCATCCACACTCCCATCCTCCCTCCCACTCTCTTTCCTTCCCTCCCTTCTTTCCTTTCCTTCCGCGTAGTATTTGCTCAGTGTCTCCTCTGGTCCAGGCGCTGGGGATACAATAACAAACATGACTCAGTCGCTCTTCTCCCAGAGGAGGCAAACTAGGAAGCCATACAGTGTCCCACTACATTTCTTGGGATGAAATCTCACCCAGAATCACAACATGGAAGGCCAGTAAATCCCAGATACCCTCACGCTCCAAAGGGCTCAGTTTTTGAGCCACAGATTGAGTCAGTCCCTCCCATTTTATCGATCAGAAAATGGGCCGAGCAGTGGGGTGATGTCCTCTAGGTCGCTCTGCCAGCCAATGTACAGTCTGGCAGAATTCAGCTCTCCTGCTGGTTCCCCAGGCCCCGGGAAGATGCTTGAGAACCTGACGCCCCCTTCCCACCTACCTGGCCCATGATCACCCACCTTTCCTGGGCAGGAGATGGAGAATGCAAAGATGGACCCTCTGTACGGCTTACGGGTGCACTCCTGGGTGCTGGTGTTGTCAGGGAAGCGTGAGGTGCCCGAGAGCTTTTTCATCGATCCGTTCACGGCACGCAGCTACAGCACCCAGGACGACCACTTCCTCGGCATCGAGAGTCTCTGGAACCACAAGAACTACTGGGTCAACATGCAGGACTGTTGGAACTGCTGCAAGGTGCCAGGCCGGGGCCTGGGCGGGTGTGGCAACTATAGCTGGAGGAAAAGGGGGGGGCGACCTGTGGGGAGAGCTGGCTACCAGGCCATGAGGGCTTCAGCTGAGTCCCCATAGCCCAGTCCTCTGCCCATAAGTAACCATCCTGATATGATTATTGTCTCTCTTTCAATTTGTGCACCCTTATAAAATGTGGATTGTTAGTTTCTGTAAATGATTTTTTTAAAACGTTGTATTGAAATGCAACATACATGCAGAAAAGTACACTCATCCTAAGCGTACGGCTCAATGAATTTTCATAAATTTATATATATATATGTAAACATATATATATAACCCAGAGCCACTTACATAAGTTAAAAATATGTGCACACACTATGGGGGGAGGTCCTAACTAGACACAAGTGGACTTTCTGGGGGTGTGGGCAATGTTCTATTTCTTGATCTGGGTGCAGGAACCACAGTGCATCCAATTTATGGAAATTCATCGAGCTGTACACTAATCAAGAGAGAGACAGGCTCCAGGCACTACGTTTTGTGCTCTTTTGTTGTTTCCAAGTTCCTCCGTCTCCGACCGGGCCAGTTTCCTTTCCCAGAGGTAGATCCTGGGTCCTTTCCTCCTATTCCAAAGTGGCCCTGTCCAAGCGACTGCTGTCGCCCCCTATGGGAAATGGGCAGAATCGATGCGTGTGCACGCCGGTGTCAGCTGCTCTGTGCTCAAGTCGGCTGTCCCAAGGTGGAGGCGCCTCATCTGCCTTCGATGAAGGAGGAACACCTCCGCGCTCCACCAGCCGCCCTTAGTTGCGGATTCCAGCATTGCTTGGCTCTCACCAACCTCACTGGGTTGTGGGAAATAACACTTAGTAGGTGCTTAGTTAGACTCAGTCCCTGGCCGTTCAATAACGTCAGCTATTGTTACTCTCATTTTATAGAAGGAAATTCTCCCCTACCACCCAGATGGGGCAGAGCCGAGACTGCCCTCCCTCAGAGCCCAAGCTCGTAACAGCCATGCTGGTCAGTGCCCACTGAAGAATAATGACCTTGAGAGGCTGCTACAGCCCTCCTTTGCCCCTTTTCCGGGCTGAAGGTCCTGTCCTCAGCCTCCCCTCCCAGCATGCCCTGCACCAGTGCCAGACAAACATCTACAGCAGGGATGATAGAAGTTATGAGATGAAAATGGAAGGGTGGCCTGGTGAGAAAGTGAGGCCAGAGGGACAGAACCGTGTCACCAAGTGAGGGCATGGAGAAAGAGATCATGGCACTGGCTGTCGCTTCTACTGCCAAATGAGCAGGGGTGGGGGCCGCTGCTTTGTTCCTTTAAAGAAGCTCGAAATGGCATCGGGGCCGGGGAGCGGTGCTGAGGCCCCACGGAGATATGGTATTGTCCATTCAGTTATGCTTTTCTTATAGAAATGGAGATTTAAGTAGTAAAACATCTAACTACTGCTTACTACTTACAAAAGTGGCAGAATGGGGGACATGATTTAAAGCAATGCAAACATCCGTACAATTCAATTCCTCTTCATGAAGCCCTGACTACCCGCAATCACTGTTGCATTCTCCTCCATCACGTCCCTCTCTGCTCCCCACCCAGGTGGTGTAGAAAAGCACTCAGGAGCACTCCAGGACTCATACGTGACAGTGGGGACTAGGGTCAGGCTGGCTGCAGGACAGCTCCATGTCGAACTGTTCTTAAGGCTTTGCCCTCCTATTGGTACATTCATTCCGGGGATGGCGTGCTGCCCTAAGGAGGTAGACTGGGATGCGGGGTGTTCCCCACCTGCTGGGAGTTATCTGGCAGGTGCACCTAGAGCTGGAGGACCCCCACGGTGAAGCAGAAATCCCTGCCTGCATCTTCCGCTCAATTCCACGTGTGCCTGCCTAGCTCCCTTCTCCCTGGCGTGCATACACACCTTTTTTCAAACGTGCCATCTCCGCCTCCCAGAAAATCTCACTGGTTTGCCTTTGCCATAAACACTGCCTGGGATACTCGCCCCTCTCCCACCCCCCAGACAGTGCAGAAAGACTTCCATACGCAGGCTTACTTCAGGCCAGGGTTTCCAAGTCTCTCACAGAGACTAACAGTGGGATTTCTTCATAGGGAGATTGGGCAACAGGAAGGAAGTTCCCCCCTCGAGGCCTCAGTTTCCCTGTTGAAATGAGGAAGGTGGGCGTGGACTCACAGAGGCTGCTCGGAGCTGACGTTCTGCTCCTCTGAGGCCTGGGCCCTTCTCCGCTCTGGGAGCAGCTGTTCCTCACTGCCCCATGGGGCAGGAGGGGACACGGTGGTGGCGGCGTGTGCTCAGCTCATCCCCTCCCCCATCAGGACTTGGTCTTTGACCTGGGAGACCCTGTGAGGTGGGAGTACCTGCTCTTGGGGACTGATAAGTCTCACCTGGCCATGACAGAGGAAGACGACGATGGCCTGAATGATGACGATGACATAGAAAATCTGGTGAGTCTCGGCTAGCTGTAGGGCTGGGGAGTGGGAGTGGTGAGGCTTCACCTGACAAATGTCTCCACCGGCATTCATATGCATGGGAGGGGACAGTCCAGGTAGACCGATTACAGATTCCTCAAAGCAGAGGGCCTGGACCAGGCCCGCATTTTATAGATGGGCAAACTGAGGCCCAGACAGGTCCAGCGACCTGCCCAGGACCCCCCAGTTGGGTAGAGGAGGGTTGGGACTTGCATTCAGGCCTCCTGACCCCCACACAGTCTATCCTGTCACAGTTTGCCCCGTAGAGCAGGGTGCTAAGACCTCTCTCCACAAGGCCCAGAGAGCCCAGGACCAGTCACTCCTCATTCCGGGCCTTTCTGCATAGCCACTAGGATCCCCCCAAGCACTTCCAGGCCTTTCTTGTCCATCCTATCAGCCCTTTTAATGGTCATCGACCTAGGGCCTTCTCCAACTCATCCCTTCTCTGATCTGTAGTCAGGGGCCTTCCAGGCAGGTCTGCTTGAAGCCTTATGCTTGCAGGTCAGCGGCCCAGAGACCTTAGGTATCGGCTGTGCCACCTTGGACAAACTTCCTAATTTCTGGAAGCTTTAGTTTCATTGTCTGTATGTAGAATGGGGGAGTAGGGTCATAGAAATAATAATAGGTACATTCATTTGCTAGAGTTGCCATAACAAAGACAACAGACTGGGTGGCTTAAACAATAGAAATTCATTTTCTCACAGTTCCGGAGGCTGGAAGTCCAAGATCAGGTGTCAGCAGGGTTAGCTTCTCCTGAGGCCTCTCTCCTGGGCTTGCGGGTGGCCGTCTTCTCTGTGTCCTCACCCATGGTCTTCCCTGTGTCTGTGTGTCCAAATATCCTTCTACAAACACTAGTCATTACGGATTAGAGCCACCCTAGGGACCTCATTTTTAACTTAATTACCTCTTTAAAGATTCTATCTCCAACTATAGTCACATTCAGAAGTAGGGGTTAAGACACAATGGGTAACACTCATTAAGTACCCTCACTAAGTGCCCACAGGTGCTTAACCTGAATTAACTTGTCTAAATCTTCACAACCACCCGGTGAGGTAGGTATTGGGATTGTCATCCATTGTCATCGTCTCATTTTACAGACAGAAAGACTTACACACTGAGGGGTGAAGTAACTTACTCAAAGTTACACAGCCAGTAAGTGACAGAGCTGAGATTTGACGGCCTGGCTCCCAAGTCTGGGTTCTCGACAGCAGATCCGTCCTACCTACCTCCTGGTCCTGCTTGAGGACAAAACGAAACCCCCCTCTTCGTCCTTCCTTCCTGGCACACACACCCAGCTCTGCGGACATGCGAGGCACAGCAGTGTAGACAGGCCTGGAAACTGCATTGGGCATTCTCGCGACCCTCCAATCTGGTGACCAGAGCCTCCCCTGTGCAGTAGAATCTGGCCACAGGCCACCTGCTGGCCTCGAGAGGTGGACTGATTAGATGGGTGGGGGGCAGAGGTCTGAGCATTGTTTGTGGGAGAAAAGTTTTAAATTGAGAAAATTTTATTCAAGTTTCTGTGGTTACCTAGTTTGAGGACCATTTGTGTAGGCCAGGCCTTATTTTACAGATGGGAAAACTAAGGTGTGAAGAGAAAAAAAAACAAACAAACCAATAATGTCAGCCAAGCAGTGTCCCCAACCCTTTATGCACCTTCTAACTCTTAACTCTCTTGGGGGTCCCAGTTTACAGTTAGGAAACTGAGTCTCAGAGTGGTGAAGGGACGTGCCCAGGACCCCTTGGCTGGTGTTGAATGAAGGGTGACACTTGGGTCCACCTGAATCTAGATACCCCTCTCTTAACCAAAGGCCTGTGGCTGTGCCTGGCGCCTCTGCCGACCGAGGGGAAAGACTGGCATGCAGGGCAGGGGTGCTGCTGTCCCAGCCAGGGGGTACCAGAGGGGCCCCAGCTGGCCAGGAACAGAATCCTCCACTTCCTCCCTATCTTGGATCACGCCAGGCCAGCTCAAAACTGTCCATGACCTCTGGCTCCCCTAAAGAAGCTGGCAAGCCACCCTGGCTCGTCCCTGAGAAGTAAGACAGAGGGTCTGTCCATGACTTCTCTTCCAAGGCCCAGCCCTGACCAAAACCAGCCCACCCCACTCCTGCCTCTCCCAACAGGGCAAGGAGGAGGAGGATAAGAGCTTCGACATGCCACACTCGTGGGTGGAGCAGATCGAGATCTCCCCGGAAGGTAAGTCCATGTTGTGTTCACTCCCCCTCCCCAGGACCTGGGTTCCTGGGATGATCTGCAGCAACAGTAGGCAGGGGGACGCCAGCAGAGGCCACGCCAGCCCCTCATGTACACCCTTCCTGCTTTCCACTACCCCTTCTTCATCCTTCCTTCCTGGCACACACTCAGCTCTGCGGCCAAGGGCCTGACACCGGTCTCCGTTAACACAGGCTGGATGATGGAGAGCGGGAGGCGATGGAGGACTGAGGACCAGGACATAGCTATTCCCGTCCTTCACCCTTCTCCTCCCCAGATGGCGCAGGAGAGGGGAGACATCAGGACCGGGGAGGGGCAGGCAGAGAAAGCAGGAGGACCGGGGTGCTTATGCCCATGCCAACATCCGCTGGCTGTTGAGGCTCCCCTCTGGGAGTGCCTAGGCCCATGCATTGGGTATAGGCCATAGGTCATTCCAACAGGGTGGGAAAGGCCAGAGAAGGTGTCATGGGAACCCAAGGGAAGAGTACTCAGCCCAGCCCAGAGGTTGGAGGCGGGGGGCTGGGTGGGCAGAAAGGGCTTCTAGGAGGAGGGGTCGTCTGAGCTAAGTTTTGATACATCAGAAGAAGCCAGGCGAGTTAGGGCAGGAGGAGATGGTGTTGCTGGCAGAGACCTGCACTAGCAAAAGCAAAAAAAAGCGGGGAGTGGGGGATGGGGAAGGGCCTGGGTCCTCTGGTAAGACTGAAACCTGAGAACTCCTCCAGGGCAGGGGCCACCCCTGGTGTCCATTCTCCTCTGCCTCCCTTGAGCAGGCTTGCGGGCCTGGAGGAGCTTAGCAGACAGTGCAGTGGACAGTGGCTGGATGAGTGGCTGAGTGGGGCTGGCCCTCCCTTACTCTGATCTGGTGAGGTCCCTCACCCCAGCACATTCTGTATCCACAGCGTTCGAGACCCGCTGCCCAAATGGGAAGAAGGTGATTCAGTACAGGAAGGCCAAGGTGGAGAAGTGGAGCCCCTACCTGAACAGCAACGGCCTTGTGTGCCGCCTCAGCACCTATGAGGACTTAGAATGTAAGGGAGCCAGGCAGGCCTTGGGGAGCAGGAAAGCTGGGTCCCCCAACATTCTATGCGACCTTGGGCATGTCACTGACACTCTCGGTGTGAGTGTGGGCCCTGCTGGTCTCTGTGTGGCTGGGAAGGGTGGGATGGAGGCCGGGGCAGCTGGTGTGACTACAGCCAGCATGGATCGGCCCCACAGGTACCAAGATTTTGGAGATAAAGGAGTGGTACCAGAACCGGGAAGACATGTTAGAGCTGAAGCACATAAACAAGATCACAGGCCTGAACATCGACTACTTCAAACCAGGCCACCCCCAGGCTCTGCGTGGTGAGTGGACTCCTTTGCTGGGCCAGCTGGGGTCCCTGGATGGGGCCTTACATGCTCCTTAGAGCAGCCTCCATGTGGCTGGTTTGTGGTGAGAGGAACCAGTATCTGTGTATTAACAGGGTTCATAGGTGTCAAGCAACAGAAACCACCCCTGCCTCCCTAAGCAAATTAGACGTGGGAGGTCAGGGGAAGCGCAGGAAATCCAAGGAAACATGACAAATGTTCCTCCAGGAAAGTCAAAGCCAGGGCCACATGCCCATTTTGTATTCGGGACCTTGCATACAGTGAGGGCCACGTTAATAGGAGGTCAGGATGCTGAGCAATAAAACCGACAAACGCTCCCACAAGGACAATGCAGAGGGCAGAGGGTGGGGACATGGCCATGAGCCCAGGAGCCTGGGAAAGGAAGGAAGGACATGTTTTGGGAGTGAATCAATGATCCTCACCAAGAGGTCACAAAAGAGAACAGAGGCTCAATATGTCATCCAATAAATAAATAAATAAATAAATAAATAAATAAATAAATAAATAAATAAAAAGATCAATCTCACTTGGTGGTTAAAATAAATAAATAAAACTAAATCACTAAGGGACCATCTTATAACCTTCATGTTATCAAAGATGACAATAATGGTCCCATAGGGAGCGAGCAAGTGTGCAAAGCAGCAGATCGACGCTTGCTGTTACTGCAGGTAGGATTGCAAATTGGTACAATTTTTCTGGAAGGAAGTTGGTTAAAATAATAACAACCTTAAAATATTTATGCTTTTGACCAGCATACATATTTCATTTTATTTTGACCAGTTTTATTGCTGAAAATTTGTCCTGAGCAAATAATGGGCAAGAGTTAAAAAATGTATGATGTACATGTTCATCATGGTACTGTTGATAATAACAGAAAGGTTGGAAACAGTCTAAATACCCAGCAGTGGGGGATCAGTTACACACCTAATGCTCATCCATGAGCATTCATGGACGCATGCCTCTCCCTGGGGTCTGGGTTCCAGGGGTTGGCTTATTGAGCCAGTGGCCAAGGTGCTCACTCCTGTCTCCCCGGCTCCCCGCCTCCCACCGCAGTGCACTCATACGTATCCATGCAACCTGAGATGGACCGTGTCATGGAGTTTTACGAAAGGGCCCGTGTGGATGGCCTGATAAAGCGGGAAGAGACGCCCAAGACGATGACCGAGCACTATCAAGGGAGAGCCGACTTCCTCTCTTACCGCCATGTCAATTTTGGGCCCAGGGTCAAGAAGTTGGCCATGAGCAGCGCAGAGTCAAACCCCCGGCCCATGGTGGTAAGCATTCTCTGGGCCTGGATTCCCCTGCTCTGGTAGGCCAGGGTTACCCCAGGGCGGGGACAGCCCCGACTCTGGAGTGGCACCCTTCCCAAGCAACCTTTTCTGTTTACCATAGGCAAGCTCCTGGGGCTGTCTAGTGTCAGAGCGTGCTGCTCCCCACTGGGCCAGAGTTATTATTCCCTTACTATTATGAAAAGTACACACTTATGACTAGACACTTAGGAAAAAATGAACAATATAAAGAGAAAAGCATGGCATCTTGCTGATATTGCTATATAATATAGGTTCTGTTTGAGTTTTTTCTAACTTAATTGAGGTTGTGTGTGTGTGTGTGTGTGTGTGTGTGTGTGTAGGTAGAATCCCTATATCACCCACTTGACATTAAATTGTGCATTTTTTCTTCCATGTCATTACAAATTACTTGACAACTGTGTTTAATGGTTACATACCAAAGAAACTCTTTCTAGCAGTAAGGGCTGTCTAGAGAGGTGGTGAGCTCCCCATCTCTGGAGGTGAGCAAGCAGTCTGGTGGAGGGAGCTAGAGAAGAAATCCGGCACCACACAGGGCTAGACTGGCTGGGCACTGAGAAACTGGGGGGTTCATGAGAGCCACTGTCTAGCTAGGAGGGACTGCTCCACATGAACCTCCCCAATGACCCCAGGCCCCTGTGTCCCTGAGTGGTCTTTGCTCCTGCCCTCAGGGAAGGCACAGAAATCCCCTTTCCCGCAGCACCCATCCTATGCATGTTCTGGCCTTCCAGAAAATCACAGAGCGGTTATTCCGCAACCCAGCAAAGCCTGCGGATGAGGACGTGGCGGAGCGCGTGTTTCTGATCCCGGAGGAGCGCATCCAGCTGCGCTACCACTGCCGCGATGACCACATCACGGCCTCCAAGCGCGAGTTCCTGCGGCGCACCGAGGTGGACAACAAAGGCAACAAGATCATCATGACGCCGGACATGTGTATCAGCTTCGAGGTGGGCCTGGGGGCGTGGCGGGCAGCGGTGGCGGGCCGGTGGGGTGAGAAGAAACTGGAGCCTTCTGCCCCATCCCTGCAACTTGGGAGAACTGGAGTAGAAACGCCTGGTTCCCAGCCCGGAAGTTCATCTCTGCCCCTTGGGGAAATCAAGAGCTCCCACCCTGGGACCATTCTCTTTGCAGCTCCTCTGAAAATCTTCCCCTTTTCCACCAAGAAAGACAGCCTAGCAGGGGAGGAGGGCTCTGTTTCGTCCGTACCCCAGCCCCGGGCAGAGCAGACCCCAGATCTTGGGACCAGCACTGGAATAAGAGAAGATCCCCTCACCTCCACTGGGCTGACTTTCCTAGTTCAAATTCTCACTTTCCTGGCACTTTCTTCTGAGTTTCTAGTTTCTCTTCAAATATTATGTGTTTTTATAGATGAGGAAACTGAGGTCCAGAGAGGTTAAGCAACTTGCTTGGGTCACACAGCTAGAAAATGGCAGGGGAAGATTTGAACCCAAGAAGTCTGGCTCCAGAGTCTGCCCATGACCCTGGCCATGGCGGCCTCTGTGTGTCACTGTGGTTGTTGTTCAAGGTGGAGCCCATGGAGCACACCAAGAAGCTTCTCTACCAGTACGAGGCTATGATGCAGCTGAAGAATGAGGAGAAGTTGTCCAAACATCAGGCCTGGGAGTCGGAGCTGGAGGTACGGTCCTCTGGGAGAGCGGGCGGGTGGCAAGGGCAGAGGGGGGGTCTTAGCCATGCCCTCCCCCACTTTCCAATTCAGGTGCTGGAAATCCTGAAGCTTCGAGAAGAAGAGGAGGAGGCACACACACTGACCATCTCCATCTATGACACCAAGCGCAATGAGAAGAGCAAGGAGTATCGGGAGGCCATGGTGAGCCTCTCTTTCTGGTCCAGGCCCTGACTACTGCTGGACCTCCCTGGCCTCCAGGGTGATGAGATAATTAGGGATGCTGCTGGGAAGGCCCCTTTACAGAGGATGAAGTTATTGAAACCATCATGGTCATTCCTACTGCTAAGCTCACCGTTTCTATTTGATCCTGAAGAGGATCCAGGCCAGGTCTCCCCAACCTCCAGGGGCTGTGGCCAAGCCAAAGCCACTACAGTATGAGGAACGGATGAAAATTGGACGCCCACCTTCACCTGGGGCTCCCCTTGAGGTCAAGACCTGGCCTGTAGCTCCAGCAAGCCAACTCTGGCCACAGGCCTGAGTTCTCCAGCCCCCGTAGCACAGGATGTTCAGGTTGTACCCTCGGGTTGCAAGGCCCAGCTTGGTTTCCAGGCCAGCTTCTAAATCTCCTTCACCGACCAAGTGGAGATTTCTAAAAATAGTTTGAGGTCGGAGAGACAGGACAGAGGGCCTCAGATGACTGGTTCTCAGACTCCCAGGGATGGTCACTCACCCCCCCCGCATCTCTAACTTCATTGGCCCCTATCTGTAAACGCAAGACATAAGGCCCCGGGGTGAAAGAGAAAAAGGAAGAGAGTTACTGGCAGTTTTTGATTTAACATCATTAATAATGACCATTTATGACCAGTTACTGAGCAAATATCTACTGAGCATTAGGTATATGCTGAGCATTAGGTATATGTAGAGACACAAATTCATGTAAGTCACAGAGTTGGCTGTTACCAATAACCGCAGGTACAAGAGACAGTACAGAGGCCCCCTCTGAAGCCTCATCCCCAGAGGT